CGAGGCCACGGGCAGGGCGGCCGGATTGCTGGGGCTGGATGCAGCCTTGGGCGAGGGCTTCCCCACCCGCTTGCCCGACTTGAAGGCGGCTCGCTGCTTGCCCCCCAGCTTGTCGGGGGGCGCGGGGGTGGTGGTCAGACCCGGGGGCCCGGGCGTGCGGGGCTCACTCAGGGCCGTGAGGGAGCGGGTGCACATTCTGGGGAGCCCTTCGGAGGGCCCCCTGCCTGGGGCCCCGGCCCCTTCCATCTGTCCCTGGGGGGGCCCGGTGCAGGACTCGGGGAGCAAGAGGTCTTTGGGTAACGCTGGTGCTCTGCACGGGGAGTCCTCAGCCTCGGGCAGCCCCCGGTGGACTCGCCGGCTCCGGAGGCTTTTGCCCCGTGGCACAGGCTCTTTCTTAGCAATGGGTGCCTCGGGCACGGCGGGCTTGTTGGGCTTCTGGGCCAGGGAGGCGTCCGAGGTGGTGGAATCCACGGGAGCCCGTTCCCCCTCGGGCCCTTCTTCGCCGGGCTTCATGTGGGACAGGGAGGACTCGAACCAGCTCTGGACCTTGGACTCGGCACCCACGGTGGGGCCCAGCAGGATGACAGACTCCCCGGATAGGTGGCACGGGGAACCCCAGCCGGCCTTGGAGTCCAGCACCTCCTCCTCCTCCTCCTTGGAGCAGAGGAGGGGGGCCTTGGGTGACAGCGGGTCCTGCAGGCCGGGCCTCTGCTCCGGGCTGCCCAGCAGCTCGCACAGGGAGGAGTACTCCTCGGCCTCCAGGTCCTCCTTCCTGCCGGTGGGCGGCAGCAGGGGCAGGTCCCCAAAGTCGGCGGCCGAGCAGCAGTGCCGGCTGTCCTCCAGCCACCGGTCGGCCTTGCCCACGTCGGGGCACTGCAGCAGGCCGCTGGCCTCCTCCTTCACCCCACCCGCCTCCTCCTGTTTGAAGTCCCCGGGCAGCGCGGCCGCCTTCTCCCCGGGGGGCCCCTCCTCCTGGAAGCCCAGGCAGGCCGAGGCCTCGTGGGCGTCCCCTTTGCCCACGCCGCCATCCGAGGCCTTCCCGCCCTGCTCCAAGCCCTTGGTGAGCTCGCCAGGGTGCAGTCCCCAGCGGGGACAGGCATCCCCCAGGTTCTCCTCTGGCCAGGCAAAGGGGTTGGCGCCATCTGCCGAGCTGGACGTGGTCGTGGTGTCCGGGAAGCAGTCAAAAGCCGCTGCGGTGGGGTCCGGGGCGGCGGCCCCAAGGGTGGGTTTGGCGCCAAAGGAGAGGGGACCAGAGGTCTTCTTGGGGTCAGGGGCGGCGAAGGCCACCGAAGGGTCTTCAAACAGCCCCGGGCTGAAGTCCTTGGCATTGCTACTCTTGTCCAGCTGCAAGGAATCAGGCAGGGCCTCGGGCTCCCCGGGCCGTGGCCAAGCATTCTTGGCCACAGCGTCGAGGCAGGTGCTGTGGTTCTCCAGAGAGAAGGGTGGCTTGCTGGCGTCCTTGGCCAGCCCCGGGGTCTCCGGCCAGGCCTTCTCGGCTTTCTCACCGATGGCTTCTTGCAGCCCCAGGATCTCAGAGGCCAGGTCCTCCTGAGCCAGGGCACTGAGCAGCAGCCGCGGGCAGTCCCGCTCGCCGGCCACGAACTTGGAGAAGCTGTCCAGCGGCAGACTGCTATGCAGGCTCTGGAAGGAGTCGTCAGATTTGGTGGACATGTCGTCAGGGGAGGTCACAGAACAGGTGGACACGGATTCGGGCTTGGCCTTGGAGTTGCTGTTGACCCTCGCGGGGCTGCCACGGGCCTGGCTGCAGTAGAGGAAGCCGCGCTCCAGCGGGTCCTCGGAGCCGCTCAGGTAGTCGGTCTCCTGCGGCTCTGCGTGGGTGGACTGCGGCGTGCTGCTCAGGGGCTCCGACAGGGGCGTCCCCGCTGGCTCCGCAGAGTACCCGCTGCCCTCGGGGCTGCAGTGCTGGCTCTTGTGCTGCTCCGGGGTCCTGGACACCAGGTTCTTGACCCCTTTCTTCTGCGGCACGGCGGCCTTGGACAGCAGAAGCTGCTGGACGGTGTTGGAGATGTTCTCCACCTGGGAGGTCAGGGCCGTGAGGCTCTGCAGGCTGAGGTCTGACAGCAGGTTCTCCGGGATTTTGTCCTTCTGCAGGGGCTTGCAGTTGCTGGCCTGGGTGTCCACGGAGCTGGCGGCGTCTGTCGGGGAGGGATTGAGCAGGGGCATGAAGTGGCTGTGGTCGGTGATGCCCGCGGGGAAGGCCCCGGTGCTGAGTGGTTGCTGGTTGTAGGGGAAGTTCTCTAGGTTCGGCATGAGCGGGGACGGGGTGGAGCTGTAGGAAGGGGAGCGGCCCACCGAGCGGGCCGGGGAGTGGCTGGAGCTGGGGCTGAAGGTCTGGTAGTACTGCTCAGGGGTCCTGACGGCCGTGTCCGGCTGGCAGTAGCCCTGGCCTTGCTGTCCGTAGTGTTGGTATTTGGCGAGGTTTTGGTAATGGAGGGTCTCCTGGGCGTGGTGCCGGCTCTGAAGCGCTTGCTGCTGTGGCTGGTCGTAGCCGAGGCGGCCCGACGGGTAGGCGTGAAGGTTCTGGACCCGCTGTCCCGGGGCCAGGCTGGCGTTGGCGGTCAGTGGCCTGTCGTGGGGCTGGGCAGACGGTGCTGTGCAACTCTTATAGGAGTGGGCCCCCTGTCCGCTGCCCTGGACGGACGAGGAGTAGGTGGACGAGGTGGGGAAGGACTGGGAGTGCTGGGGGAAGTGACCCCCCTGGGGAAAGGGCAGGGGCGAGGCGAGGTCATTCTGCAGTTTCTGCCTTTGGAGTTTGGGGTACGCCAGGGGCTGCTGGGGCTGGGGCAGCTGTGGCGGCGGGGGCTGCTGGACAGGCAGGGAGTGAGTCCGGAAGGGAAGCTGGGCACCCTGCTCTGGGTACTGCCTGCCGGGGGGCACGGCCGTCTTTTTGAGTAAGTTCTCATCGTACTTGCCCACCCCTCCTGGCAGGGGCTGTGGCTGGGGGGGTGGCGGCTGGGGGGCCCCCCAAGCCTGCAGGCCCTCCTCCCCAGAGTAGCGTCCCGGGTAGGGGTTGCTGTCCTGGAGGCCACCATAGCCGGGGAAAGACGGCCTCCCCTGCAGCGCCTGCTGGGAGGGCAGGGCCTTGCTACCTCGGTGGTACTTCTCGGCGGCCACCGCGGCCGCCGTGCTGGAGGGGGTGCTGGCGCCACCCTCGTAGCCCGGGTAAGGCTGCGGGTTATAATAGTCCTTGGCGAGCAGCCGCTGCCTGTCACAACTCAGCCCGGCCTGACTCGGCTGCCTGTAATTCTCCAGGCGAGTCGCTTCCTGCGAGGTCTGTGGGTAGCTCTGCTGTTTGCCATGGAAACCACACCTTTCTCGAAAAGACTGCATGACGCGGGCTGGCGATCTGTGGAAGAGAAAAGGGAGACAGGGAGGGGGGGGTGGGGGGCAAGAGGGAGAGCGATTCAGATGGGCCACCACGTCCTGGTCCCTTGTCCCCCTCAGCCACCTCCCCCCACCCACCCTCGCCCTGCAGCCCTGCCTGGCCGGGAAGTCTCCCCACCAGCTGTGCACATATTGACAACTTCTGCATCCAGGAGGTGCGCTCCATACTCCCCACTTCCACAGGGCCAGCAGCCTTCCTCATCACAGACGGGCCACCGCGGGGCACAGGGCACGGGAGGTGCAAAACGGGGCTGCCCGAGCCAAGTCACCCGGCAGGGGAGCGGCTACTCCACCCTCCCCGGGGCTGGCTCCTCCCCTCCGCCCCCACCCACCACCACTCCCAGCTCTTCCAAGACAGCTCAGAATCATTTAGCAGAGCAATTCCGCTCCTCACGTCCCCTGGGGCCCTCTGGATCCTGTAATCTTAGTCCCTAGGTGGCTGTACTCAAGCGTGACCCAGCAGCCATGCTGGGGACCCATGAGGATCTGTCCTACCCCGCCAGGGAAAGGCCGCTTGCCAAAGGCGCACACGCGCGGGCACACACACACACACACACACACACACTCTCACACACACACCTCCCCTATCACTGCCATGCCATCTGGAATCTGTCTGTTCCCTCTAGCAGACGTCAACTGTGTGTGTAGGGGGGGCTGCCGAGCCACTGTAGATGTAAAACGTCCTCTCCTCTGACTCCTAGGAACGTAGGACAGCCGCACCTGCCTCCTGTTTTGGATATTATAGGTGCATAAACAGATTACGTGATCCAGGGTAAGGGAGCGCATGCTGATGAGGGACAGGGAAGCCGTGCTGAGCCCCTTGGCACGGGGGTGATGGGACCTGGTCCTTCAATGGCAGGGCCCCCTCTCGGCTTCCCCAGGTCAGGTGGCACGGGGGAGCAGCCCATCTGGTTATGATTTTAGGGGCTGGGGCCCAGGCAGGGGTCTAACCTACCCTAGAGCAGGATCCTGGGTTAGAAAATGATCCTCAAAGAACCTTTGAGGGCAGAGCAACAGGATTCACAATATGGGCTAGACGTGGGCGTCTAGGGCTAAAGGTTCCCCGCAGTTGACCGGCAGGTCTGGTGGCCCCAGAAGGCCCTCAAAGCTGGGGGGGTGGGGGGAATGGAAAGGAGAAACGCTAGCCACAAGCCCTGATCCCAAGGGTTGGGATTTACCCGGCACAATGATGGATGCAGGCCCAGAGTGGCCTCTGCCTGGCCTGGTGGCCCAGGCCCCCAGGAAGGGGACAGGGACTTTCCAGTTTTCCTTCCCACTAAACACTAAAAAAGAGGGGATGGCCTGCCTTGGGCTCCAAAGATTCCAGATCTGTTTTGAGGGATCAGAAAGGAATAAGGACAGAGGGTTGGGGTTGTGGCTCAGGGGTAGAGCGCTTGCCTGGCATGTGTGAGGCCCTGGGTTCAATCCTCAGCACCACATAAAAATAAAGTAAAAAATCCATTGACAACTAAAAAATATTAAAAAAAAAAGAAAGGAATAAGGAAAGAGGTGGCCGGGCAAGAGGGACACGGAATAAACAGATGTGAGAAGGGGGGAGCTACAGGGTGAGAGGAAAGAGGTAGAGAGATGCGCAGGGCGGGGGGGGGGGCACTTTTCCAAAAGGGTGGTCCAGCCCCAACTCTTCTTGTATGGGATCTGGGGACTGACCCAAGAAAGGGGACAGAGGAGGACCTCCATCCAGCTGAGAAGGCCACCAGACAGCCCCCCAGGAGCCCACTGGCACAATCTCAGGTCCATCTATCCCAGGGGCTTGGCCCAAAGCACCTCCTATGTGGCTGTACTCAAGTGTGACCCAGCCATGCTGGGGGACCCATGAGGATCTGTCCTACCCCGCCAGAGTCAGACGGCCGGTCTCAGCCGCACACAGGGGGGCCAGCATTCCCAAGAGAGCCCCTCCCTACCAAAGCCCCCTTGCCCTCTACTCCCCCACTCCCTGGAGTCACCACAGGTATGGAGCAAGGAGCTGTGTGCCCGCCCTGCTGACCCACTTCAGGCCCAGCCGAGGCGGCTTGGATAAAACACTCCAGGACGTGCCAACCCAGAGGAACTGGAGGAGGCTCTTGGCTTCGTGGCTCCCAGCCAGGTGGGCAGTCCTGTGCCTCCTACCCGGATCTCTGCAGAGAAGGGCGTAGCCACACTGCCACAGGGCTGCCCAGGGTGGAAGGGGGGGGTCAGCGGGCACCTTCCCGCACTGTCCATGCCCTAGGCCTGCAGGTGGCCGGCTCTGCTCAGGGTCTGGCTGCGGGGGTCCCTTCTGAGGAAGGCCAGCCCCGAGACCAAGGGCATGCCGGCTCCCTGCCCTCCACGGGCACATGTTTATGAGCCCAGAATGCACAAACCCAGGACCGATTTGAAGGCTGCACCTCCCTCGTATATCTGCACAAATTACATTTCGGCTTTTATTAGTCCCAGATCACTCTCATTTCCTGCTGAGTTGTCCTGTGGATATCATTAACATTTCTACGGCTTTATTTTTTATTTTTTTTTTTCCCCTTTCACATTCCCCAAAACGCCTTCCAGAAACATTATTTAAAAAGGGGGGGGGGGGGGGGGGGGGGGGGGGGGTGGGCGTGGGGTGGGACGTGCCATTAGCCGTGTCCCCTCCCCAACCTTCTCTGTCCACAGCTACCCCTCCCCGTTTAATCAGTCCAGCTGCTGCGTCTTTTAATTTAGCCAAGCTGGGTTACAGGCGGGTTTCCCAATGCACCCGAGCAGCTGGATTGTGGCGAAACATCTATCTCTAAGAAGAGACAGTTCAATTAAAATAGGAGAGGCCCAGTGCCTGATGGAAGATGCAACCCAAATGCTCGCCCAACACCTCCCTCCAGCCCCCGATCGGAGGAAGGGAGGCAGGAACAAAGGCCTCCTGGCCTCCCGGCCGGCCGCCTCTCAGAGCCCTGAGAGGTCCTGGCGACCTCCGTCAGGAGAAAATGGGGGCACTGCCTCTTTAAGAGCTGCCTTGGGCCTGCCCTGGGCTCTGTTGTTATTAATTATTGGGATTATGATTACTTTTCAAGAGCACTAGGAAAGGACACCAGGGGGACAGACCGTGGCTTGGGCAAGAGGGAGAAAGGGTCACACACACACACATACACAAGTCCTGGTCCAAAGCACCCCTGCCCTGTGGTCCCCTCCCCGCCCTGGCCTCTTCGCCACCTCTCTACGGTTCTTTTTTATTTTTTAATTTAATTTTTTTATTTTCATTTGTTACATAGGACAGCAGAGTGCATGACACACACACACACACACACACACACACACACCCAGAGAGCACAACTTTTCACATCTCTGTGGTAGACACAGTACAGTCACAGCATTCCCGTCTTCTCCAGTTCTTGCTGAGCTTGGAAGTCAGGCGGAGAGCAAGTCCCGAATACCTCTCACCACGAGACTCCTGAGCTCCTCATCCTTACAACCGCCTCGGAAGCAGGGCCTGCTGGGCTTGATGGGGCGGAAGCACAAGACCCCACAGCCCAGAACTGCGCCCAGGGCTCCAGCCCTCGAATGCAGTGTCCCAGGACTTCCCTCCTGCCCAGCAGCAGATCTCACCCCTTGAGAAAGCCATCTAGGCAACCATGAAATAGTGTCTGGAGGATGAGACTCACCTCAGACTTCCTCTGGGGTGAGACTAGCAGTCCTCCAAGGCCCTCCTGGCAACAGGGGAAGCCAGGGACATGGCCCTCCCCTCAGAGACCCTGGGACCTCAGCGGGGACCTCTGATAGCTGCAGAGTGACTCCTCTGCACAGATTCCCCTCCCCCATGCTTTGGTTGTTCTCTCTTTTACAGAAAAACAGGAGCTTCAGAGGGGCAAGAGACCTGCTTAGGACCTGACCCCAGTGATGCAGCAGTAGTGACCAGGCCCCTCGCCTGGACCCCACACCAAGAATTCCCATTTTGGAGCTGGGTGAAGTGGAGGGAAGGGCACACCTCAGCCTACCTGGCCCTCATCTTCCAGCAGCCAGAGGGAGGTCCACTAATGGGCAGTCATGGCCACTGACCACCTGCTGCACCATAGCAACCATTGTCCTCTGGGCAGCTGTACTAAGGGAGTCACTGGGTCCATAGCCTCTGAAGACTCCGGGGTTGGATCCCTGTCCAGGAAATGGGCACAGTGTGGGTCAGAGCTGTGGCACAGGAGGAGCCCGGTCAGGAGGGGACAGAAGAAAGTTTTCCCTGAGAGAAAGGAGGCCCTCTCCTCCCAGCAGCGGCTCTGAGATGCTGGCTCCACCCCCCCCCCCAGCTTACCCACGGTCCACCCCCCCAGCTTACCCACGGTCATTTTATGACCTGGTTTTCTGACTTGCAGCTGCAGGGAAAAAAACATTTAAAACCCAACCCACTCAAGGGCCTGAGAACCCAAGGAGAAAGGGGAATCTCTGGGGCTTCAGGAGGCCAGGGAGGGACTGAGGGGGTGTCCAGGGAGGGGTGGGGCAGGTGGAACCCCCTGGGGTCTCCCCATCTGTTGTGGGTGATGAGTAATATAAGACGGGACACCCGGATGGACATGATAAATCATTAGCCAGATTGGCTGCTGTCCTGGGGTAGGGGTCTATGCCGAGTCCCAAGGGCCTGGCTTCACTCAAGAGCTGACAGTGGGTGCCCCAGAGGCGTCTGGGACAGGTGAGGGCGGCTGGGCAAGGGGGACCGTCCTGGAACATAAGCCACCCGAGGACAAGACATCCCCCTCCCTAAAGCATGACCCCTCCAGGTGGGCAACACTTGGGCATGACATGACCCCTTCCTTCATTTAAGGTCCCCTGGCTCATGGGAAAACCCCACAGGGCCCTAGCATGCCTCTGTCTGCAGAGCCTGGGGGTCCTGAGCAGCAAGAGGCAAATGACACAGGGACAAGAAGAAGACAGCCCTCTCCAGAGCTCACGGTGGCAGCTGGACTCCTGAGCTGAGCTGAGGGACCCCTGGCAAATGTGAGGGCTCAGAACTCTCCGGAGGAATTTTTCCAAGGGGAAGACTTCTGGCCTCTCCAGGTGTGTCTGGGACGCCCCCTGCCCCCATCTCCACAGCTCACCAACACTGTCCCTCTAAGGACCCAGCTCAGCAGCGGCTGAGATCTACCAAGATATCTGCCTGGGCTCTCCACCAGGAGTCTAACCCAGGAGGACATGGAGGCCAGGCAGGCCCCTCCTGCCGGCCAGCCCCACCTTCCAGTGCAGTGCTGAGGGCCCCTGACATCTGAAGCTGTACCCCCCACCCCGTGCGCCATGATGCCTATGCCCAGGTTGCGGCCAGTGACAGACGAGAGTCCCGGGCCATGGGGCACCCCCCGCCCCCCAGTTCAGGAGGTGAGGGGCAGCAGGAAGGGATCTGCCCCAGCTGCTGGCACTCAAGGGCCCTCCCGGGAGAGGCTGTCAGGAGGAGCGCTCACCTATCATGGGCTCTGTACTTATCAGTCTCTTGTGGACAATAATTTTTTTTTTTTTAGATCACTTTATTCACCACGGAACAAAAAGCATCACGTCTCTGTCAAAATAAAGAAAAGGGGGAACATGGAGAGGGAGCCGACTGCTTGGATGCGAATGCCCCACCCACTCCAGACCTCTGTCCTTCCCACCCCCAGCCAGGCTGGTGCCACCAACTAAACCAAGGTCCCAGAACCGGCAAGCTCAAAGGGCAGGCCCAGAGTGGGGGCTCAGGGGACCCAGAGGGTGCTCCCAGTCTGCGCCATTCTTCTCTGTACCTGGAGCCGAGCCAGTGGGTTCCTGTGAATGCTGATTGACTTTTCGGACTTTGGCAAGCCGTTTCCCTTCCTGGGCCTCAGGGCCTTTGCACGGGCTATTCGCTCTGCTGGGAATCCCTTTCCCAGACAACTATGCAGCTCCCTAACCCTGCTCTAAGTCTGCGCATCTGTCACTGTCTCCAGTGGCCTTCCTTGAAATGATACCCCTTCCCCATATTTTTCTCCAAAGTATTTACTACCTTCTTATAATAAACTTTAACTTGCTTTATTACTGGTCTCTCCTGTTTAGTAGGAAAGTTGGATTTTTCACCTATTTTGTTCAGTTATATCCCCATTGCCCAGAACAATATTTATTGAATGATTCATGCTCCAAATGTCACATTAACCCTGTAAAAAATATCCAGAGCAAGCAACAGGGTGGAGGGATAAAACAACTCTGGAGATGGGGGTGCACTTAAGTGATGTGGGCTCAGGGAGCTGGAGATCATAGTCCCAAATCAGGGGTGTGTGTGTGTGTGTGTGTGTGTGTGTGGTGGGGAAGGAGCCCCCCATCAGCCGAGCCGATTGCTTCCCTTGTGGAATGGAACCCAGGTGCCAGAAGGCCTGTTTTTTTCCTTTAAGCCAGAAATCAGGAATTTATAAAAAGGGATCTTTCATTTTAAAAAATGTAAAAAAGTTTATTTATTTGTATTTCTTTTGTGGTACTGGGGACTGAGCCCAGGGGACACTCTACCACGACCCTACATTCCCCAGCCCTTTTATTTTTCCTTTTGAAACAGGGCCTCCCTAAGTTGTCCAGGTTTAGACTGGAACTTGCGATCCTTCTGCCTCAGCCTCCCCCATTGCTGGGATTTCAGGTTTGTGCCAAGGCCATCACATCTGCCTTTTTTTTTTTTTTTTTTTAATATTCCAGAGTTCAAGGGAACTTGGCTGCCGGCCGTACCTGCTCCCAGGTGTCAATGCAGAGGGAGGGCTGCAGGCCTGAGCACTAGTGAAGGCAGAGGCCTTGTTGCGCTGGGGATGTGAGCACCGAGTGGGTGCTCAACGGAAAGGGATGAGAGCAGGCTCTGCACCCAGAATGTCACCTGGCCCTGGGGGGTCCAGGAGGACCCAGTTAAGCACTGGATTGGAGCAAGGCGAGTGCCCTGTACATGAGGAGGGCAGAGCTGGGCAGCCTTGGAGAGGAGGTGCAGAGGTGGGGTGCAGAGGCCCACAGAGATGGTGATGACCTTTATAGCATTCTACGCCAGACACGGGCGAGGCCCCGCCCCCCACTCTCCTGGGTCCTCCCCCCCCCCCAGCTCCTCGGTGACACTCATCACAGCGGTAATTACATAATTAATGCTACAATGAGCTGTTTCCCACGCACCTCCCTCACTGGAATGTCGACTGATGAGGGTAGGGGCTTTCTGTTCCGTCCTAAGTTCTAAGCCCAGAAACTGGTCCCCAGAGTTACTGCCTATCAAATATTGTTAGGATGCATGGGGACCTGTCCGCCTCGGTGCTAGCTCACCACAGCCACAGGAGGAGGTCCGGAGAGAGGTCTGATGAGGGGACTGGAGGCCAGGACGCATCCAACAGCCAGCCAGCCAGGAAGGAAAGGGGAAGTGCCCGCGCCTTCTCTCCCCCACAGCCCTCTATCGTCTGGACTCATTGGCTTGTGGAGTCTGGTCGGGGACCCAGCTGGGCGCTGAGGACACACAGGAAGATGCAGCATGCCCATGCTCTCCTGAGGTGGACACACGGTCCACAGCTTCCAGATGGAGTGACACCCAGGGGACTGTGGAGAGGCCAGAGGACTTACCTACTCAAAAGAGGGGTGAAGCCACAGCCCGAAATGGCTGGGAGGTGGCAAAGAGCAAGTGGGTCACCGCAGTTACCTCCCACCTCTGCCAAATTCTCTACCCCCCACCCCCAAGCTCAGGTGGTCCTGCCACTGCGGCCACTTGTCACTGTCCTCTATCTTTAGGGCACCAATCCCTGACAATCTTGCCCAGCCAGTCACCTGCTGCCTGGGCGCAGTTCCCTGGCTGTCCCTCTCCTGTAAGCGTTTGGGGCACCCTGGCCTGTCGCCCAGGTCACAGAGAGGTGCCGGGCTTGTTTCAGATGCACTGCGGTCCTTATTCCTCTCAGCCACCAAGACCAGCAGAGAAGAGCAGGGAGCCCTTAGAAGCCAGTTTCTGCAGAGCACCATCTTCAAGTCTTCCCCTCATTTTTTCACAGAGGGATTAATGGATGCCCAGAGAGGGTCAGCATCTTGTCCAGGAGGCCCAGCCGGGCTGAATTCCTCTGTAGCTGGCCTGTCAGTCAAACCCAAAAGAGAGAACAGGGCCTTCCTCCTCAACTCCCCGCCCGTTCCCCACAGCAGTCACGGAATGTGCTGTCTTCCCCCCAGCTTGGGTGGAACTACCCCTCCATTCCCTGCCTCCGACACCCCCTCGCTGCAGCATCCTGACAGCCAGGGAGGCGCAGCAGCAGCAGCAGCGTGCCAGCCCTCCCAGCCCCGGTTCCACCTGGGGGAGCCGGGGAATTGGTGCCCCCTCCCTCCTCCCAACCCCCAGGGGAGGAAGCCGCCTGTCAGGCCGCCACGGCGTGTCAAATCCTCTTGCTGCCTAATTGTGAGACGGCGGCGTTTAAAGAAACGCTTTTCTGGCCGCCTGCCACACCGCGAACTGCTTGGTATAATTTTATTATTAAGGAGAGAGAAAAAAGAGGGAGGGGATTGGAAAGGGGTGGGGGAGAGAAGGAGAGAGAGAGAGAGGGAGGGAGAAAAGAGAGGAGAGAGAGGAGAGAGAGAGAGAGGAAATAGCTCAGTCCAAGTCAGCTGGTGGAGTATTCTGCTCAATGTGAAAGCGGGGACAGCTTTCCAGTTGGCAAGCTGACTTCGTTAATTGCGCATTCAGTCTCTACTTAGGGTAATTGAAACGAAGCGGGGCCCGGCTCTGACAATTAGGGTCTGCGACTAAGCCATTAACCCTTTCCTCCACCGCCCCCTCGATCGATGCCATGACACCCTTGCAAGGAAAAGGGAGGGCTACCGGGCGCACCACCACCACCATAGGGCCCATTCCCGGACTGGGGTCCAGCAGCACCCCACCGGAGACGCGGACTGCGGCAGGGGCGGCCGGGGCGTGCGCCCAGCGCTGGCAGGGTTAATGCGGAGCCTGCTAAGGCCAAGCGGGGGGCTGGGAGCGGCGCGGGGTGTGTGTGGGGGCCGTTTGCAACCCCACCGCCCCTCTGCAACAGATGTTTCAGCTGTGTAAGACAAAGGCAGAGCGCCTGCCGCTGCCGGGAGAAAATCCGCAGGACTCCCTCCGGGGCAGGTAAAATTTCACCTTCTATTTGTGTTCCCCACCACCACCCTCACACCCCCGCCCGCCCCCGCCTTGTTTCCCCCGGCCTCTGCGCCAATCCGGAAAGCGCCACCAAAGACACCGCGCCGCCTCCTCCGCAGCCCAACCCGCTGACCCCAGCAAGGTCACGGCGACCTCGGGCTCCGCCAGCAGCGCGCCCGCCCGCCCCGCCCCCGCCAGCGAAGGGCGCCCCCCCCCCCCACCACCACCACCACCACCACGCGCCCAGTCCTCTCCTGGGGCGCCCCCCGTCCCTGATCCAAGGTAACTGGAAACATCGGGAGAGGAAGGGGGCGCTGTACTCGCCACGAGGTGCAAGAGGCCCCGGACGCTCGCCGCCTGCCTCCCGCCTGCGCGGAGACCCCGGGAGGCTGTGCCCCCCCCCCCCCCGCCCCCATCATTCATCTCCCTGATTCCCGCTGTAGCCTCCCTCGGAAGTCAGCCGAGTGAAGCAGCTGTTCCTTGCACACTCCACTTGACCAAAGATGATGATAAATGAGGCCGGGGCTGCGTCGGGGACGCGGCGGCGGTGGCGGCGAGGGGCGCGCAGGGCGGGGCGTGCAGCCCACAGCCCCCTCCCCACGCCTCGGGAAGGGCGAGGACGCGAAGGACAGAGGCCGAGGGGCAAAAATCAAAGGCCGGAGCTTCCGTCCCCGCACCTCGCTCGGACCCGGCACCCGGCGGAGAGGTGCGCCCCGACTGCCGGGGCCCCAAGGTGGAGACCTTTCCCTCCAGACAGGCACCGCAGCCCGGTCCCCGCCCCTGCCCTTCCCCCTCGCTCCCCACCCCTTCCCCTAATGCCTGGGCCCCCTCTGCGCCTAGCCTCCAGCCCCCACCCGCCTTGCCTCAAACCTATTAACGCTCGTAAATAATGAATAATGGAGCGCTTCCCTCCAGCCACGCAAGGCTGCGGGCGGGGGCCGCTGCCAGATGCGCCCGGTCCTGGGGAGGGGGCGCCCACCGGCCGGGTGCTGAGGGGGGCCGGGGCGCGCGGCCCCACACACGTGCAGCCGCGGCGCGCAGGCGGGCACCCCGCCCGGCAGCGGAGGAGGGGGAATCCCGCTCTGCCCTCCCCAACGCCACCTCCCCTGGAGTCCTCTGGCACCGAACGAGGCGAGAGAGCGCGCGCGAGCTTCCCAGCCGGAGAGGGTTATTTTTAACCTGCCCCCCTTTCTATATCTGCCTCTCGGGTTTGCGCGCCCGCCCGCCCGCTCCACCAGCCGAGGACGCGGGCTCCTCACCTCGCTCGGCGGCTCCGGACTCTGAGCGCCTCCCCCGGCCCGCGGCCCCCGCCCGTGCGCGGGCATCGCGCGGCTAAATCTCAGCCTGGAAAGGACCGATTAGGAGCCGCGTGCCTTTCAGCGAAATATTGGAACCGGGTGGGATGGGGGCGGGGAGCCCGGCGCTCTCGTCCCCTCGCCTCCCTCTCTCCCTCCCACCCTGCGCGCCGAGTGGCTGCGAGAGGCGGCTCCTGCTCTCCCTCCCGCTAACAGGGGGCGGCCGGCCCGGGGCGCCGGGGGGCCCCCCTTCGGTTCTCGGCCTTCTCTCCCCAACGCCCACCCTTCTTCGGTCCTGTAGAAGCTGGAGCTCCCAAAGCGCGGACTCTCGGGCAGCGGCGGCGCCAAGTGGGGCGCAGCCGTCCCCCCATCTCTAACCCCCCCTCCCTGAGCCACTCCAAACACACACAGACGCATCATTTAAACAGCAGCGGGCTTGCCATACCAACAACTTCCAGGCAGAGCCCACCAGGGCGACATGTCCGTGCCAGGGGGGCCGGGAAGGTGCCAGGGGGCTGGGAAGGTGCGGAGGCGCACAGAAGGGCCTCCTCCAAGGTAGTTTACTTCCTTCTGTCACTCTGCTCAGTCTCGCCCTCCGTGAGACCCCACCACCACCACCACCCCTGGC